CACTGTGCCTGGTTGGAGACATTACAAGATATGGCTGCCAACCGATGTGAGTGGCGTTCTTCAGTTTCGTTTCTGTCAAGATTGCCTGAGTGAATGTCTGGAGGTGTAGGTACCTCGGAATGATTGTGTTAAGCTAGCACTAAGTCCCCATCCACCTTTATGCCGGATGCTGAAGGGATAATTTTATCCTTCCAATTTGCACCTTGGGTAGCCAAAAATTTCACAATTGCTACATTGCTTGTTGAAATTAGCTTTCATTCTATCAGACTTGGTTGTGAAGCTCATATATCAATGGGACCCAGGAAACAAAGTTCAAGGGTAGGACCAGACATCTTCATATGTGAGCATTGCACGTAAGCTATGAGAGCATATTTTCGCGTTCCATTCTATGTTTACTAGTCTCAAGGTGGCCACAAAATCATAGACCATTTATGGTGACGGGCAGGAAGGATACATCAAACATTATATGCAGATGCTGTGGTTTCGTCTACTAGGTGAATCTGTGAGCTGAACAGTCAAGTATGTGTGGGTGACTGGGTCACTACAACTACTCCCCCCCTAGCGAAAGAGAAAAACAGCCGCGGGAGAAATCCAACAACATCGAGTGAACATGGTCGAATCGGTAGTCCGATGTGTGAGTGAGTATGGCGAACTATCTTTAAACGTTGACATTATAGACAAAGTCTTGTCCATGAACGCATGTCTTTGTTCATATTCGCCATAAGAAACGTTGAATAAACAGTTTCAGAGATGAGTGTCCGTCGGGGTTGCAATGTAATTTAGACCATGAGAAATAAAAATTTGTCAGCGCATCGCTGATGGAGCAAGCGGATGCATGAACTAGTTCCAAAATGACGGAAGGTGAACAGACGCGACATTGATGTTGCGCATTGATGCGATGGAAGTTGGAAGAAAGTGGTTTGTGGATATGAAAACTCGTAACTATGATCCCTCTGATGCGTGTGTGTGTCTGATCTAGCGAGAGCCGATTCTGGTGCCAAGACTGTTGAAGTTTGTGCTAAGCCCTACACAACCTTTCCAAACAGCCAACGGGTGATACACACTCACAAAGAGTATGACACTTCAAATTCCCCCACTGAAGCGATCGCCGGATGCTAAAGGTGTGGTTGTAACATTTTACCTGTCGGTCTCTGTGGGGTGCACTTCGGGACGATACTGACCGGTCCAAAACTCTCTGTTTAACTGGGACCCTTTCCTGACCGAAAAACAACAGCCCAACTAACACGAGAGGTCGCTACAATCTTGTCCTTTTTGAAAAGGAAGATGTACAGAAAAGGTCACTTTTGATCGATCTGCTCAAAAGGCTTTCCGACAATAAACTCTTCCAAACTGTGAAGATCTGGTATTGACACCCACCAGATAAGTCGTTTTGATACGCTCACTATTCTTCTTACGAGCGAAGTGATAAATTGATAAACCTCTTCTAAGAGATCGAATACAGGTGGCTTTATCTGTGCGGTGATCTCATCAGAAATTGGAACCTGAGGTAGTCGTCCATCATATGGATAAAGATTTTGTCGTATGATACTACTCACTCGTGTCGATGCTATTTTCCAGATAGTCGTTTTGTGATAAAGTGTACAAAAGCTCGACCCCCGAATTTCTCATCCTGGTCATTGTTGGAAGGGTATTTTGCATCCTGAAATGGCGTTGCGAATGGCCCTTGTTTTTGCTTCAAATCACGAAGGGCTGGGCTAGATTTTTATCATTGAGGGGTCTAGTCTCTTTTGTGGACGCCACCATTTCATCAGACGTTTTGTCACTAATTATACTTGCAGGACAGTTACTGGGTCGTCGTTCGATGAGTCGGGCACACCAATCACATCGCTCAAGTGTGAACACGTCCGCCTGTTCAGACGTGATAATTCAGATGCGTCCAACGTGCGTTGGTGGAGTGGCGGTTACACGCTCGCCTCGCATGTCAGATGTCCGGGGTTCAAAGTTCGACTAGTTTTCAGCAACCATGTGATTAGTTCCCTTTATGACAAAATATATTGCGATATCTCGAATATCGTGCAATTGAATCATGAGGCGGCCGGTGTGCAGCACATTCAGATGTAGAATGTTATAAAGGATACATTCAGTTGAGTCTCTCGTGATGACCAAATTGATTTGCAAATGAGTGTATTTCTCGAAAACAGTCCAATTCGGGTTCAAGTAGAACATGAGGTTGACGGAAACTCGGGGACTCAAGATGGGCAAAACCGGTCGTGGGCTTTCGAACGGTGAGAAGATGCTAAATTTAGTTCCAGATAACGCAAAACAAGTCTCTGTGTTCCTTCAAAATGGGGTGGGTGCAAAACGTATTTCGGTCGTAGCTGGAAATATGAATCCTGAAAGTTACATAATCACCTTGCAAGTCAGCGCATTTCACATGTCTGCAGTTTCCGCCATCCTTCGGAACATATCTCGTTGTGTGATCGTGGATACACTTCTGCTGCGAGCGCTCAGCAGGAGTGAGAAAACTTGTAACTTGTCAGTAAAATTCAAATAACATTGGGTGAGGGCGCTAGATGACCTACGCTTTCAAACTCCGATTTCTTCATGCTTCCATGAGCTTGCTTGCTTTGCAAACGTAAGTATTGCAGATAATCACTCAGGTCTCAGCGATGGGTTCAAGCGATGTTTTTTTTATCCACAGGACTATCCGATTACACAATTGCTCAAATTTCTTTTTTTATGGCGGCTTGTGGAGTTCACGCGATGGTAAATTTTGCAGAGAATAATCCCACGACGTCAAAGTTAGGGTTTGGTCCACTGTGTAATCGAAAACAAGTGCTTTCTTCGTACCCCTTCACTCTGTCAGCGTTTTCACATATTCAATACATACTGGTTTATTCAAGGTGCCAAGGGGTACCAGACAGATAGGAGGATACATTTGCCTTATTTCGCAGGTTAAGTGTTTCTCATACCAACTTGTTTCACATACCAGTTACGGACAAACACACGAGGATATTTTGCCAATTAAAAACCCAACATTTCCAAACTGCTTGCATTGGTAGGTAGGAAGATTGATCTTTACATGAAGTCATAAGCTGATATTCCAACTGACGTCAAAAATGATGTAAAACTTTGGGGCTTGGATGGATTGCTCTATAATTTATTATGGGGAATTTTCGTATTCTGAAACATACGTGTCAACCTCTACAGTGGAATTTAACCCTAATTCCGTTGTTACGGTTTCTGACAGAATCTCGCGAGTGTCGATCAGGAAACAATTTTTTCCACAATTGGGAAAAAGCAACATTTATCGGCGTGGTAACTGCTTTTCGATTGGCCATACAGGTTACAGATCATTCAACCATAAGCCGAACCCAATTACTTACTGGTGTATTGACGCATACTACTAATGAGTCATGCGAGTAGTCTGTGGCTGTGTCGAAGTTTATTAGGAAACGTGTTCAATGTCCATAAAGGAGAAACTACTCACAAGGTGGCTGAAAACTCTTCGATAGCCCACGACTGGCTTCGCCCGTCTTGGAGCTCATCAGGTAGGTGCAGTCCCCGAGTTTCCTTCAGTGTTCGTTTACGATTGTGTAATAATCAGTGAATACCTGTAAAAGTTCAGATAGAATGTTCAGTGTTTTGAAACTATGTGCGTATGAGAAGTTTAATTTCCCGTCCACTGGCTTGTAACTGCTTGTAAGTGAGCTCGAAAGTGGCGTACATAGATCGAAAACCTAAGGTTATGCCTCGAGGATTGAACTCAGTCATGTTTCGAACGAATCTTCCGGTCAATGTCAAGGGCTAATCGGTTTCACAACAGTCCAGTTGATCGGCCGCTGATTCATTTTCATTGCCTTAGGTGTCATCACTGCCAGTTAACCCGGTCCATTGGGTGTCAACTGACAGTAGTACTCGACCAGTGAGTAGCTAAAAAGTGTGTGCACTGGATGGGTCGTGGCGTCGAGGACGGGGCAACAGTACCGATGACTTTTGTTGTTTCTTCTTGTTTGCGTGTGCGGCTCATGTCGCAGATCACAACTGCAGACTACACACACCAGTTGCGTAACCTCAAATTGATGTGTTACCGGTTGGCTGCTCAACTGCAAAACATAAGTTGGGCAGTTTTCCCTGGTGTTTGGTGACGGAAGTGAGCGTACAGTTAGGGCTTATTTAAAGGCTGTCTGTAATCTGTTAACGATAGTCATTCAGAAAGAGTAAACTTTCACAAACGATTGCGGTTTTGTTAGTGTAACTCTGCGAGGCGGATGCCTGTAGGTGGAGACTCAGATCATTATGAAGCTAGTATTGGTCAGGTGGCTATTGATCTGTTCGCTGAGCTTGGCAAGTGATTTTCAAACGTTTCGTCACCATTTGAGGAGACATCTTCAGTACGCGACCTGTTTATTGTTTTATTGTGCCTAAGCGAAATTCGGTTGTAATCCTAACAATGGTGGTCTTGTTAATGCTCTACCAGAACCCGAAAATTAGTTGTGCGAACGAGAAAACGTGGAGAACTAACAATATCAGCGAACTAGGGACTTATCGTTTTGCAGGTACAGGTTGATAAATCCTGTTGTAAGTCCGGATGCAGGTTTCGTGTCTTCTCCGCTGTCGTAACAGCCACACATAGTCCTGGATATTCGTGATTGGAACGTCGTAAGTCCTGAGCGGCTCTGCTCCGAGTTGGGTGACGTGTGAAGCTCTGTTGAATTGTGTTGTGTTGCTGTGCTGTGCTGTGCTGTTATCCTATATGTAGGGACGTTTGCGTGTGTGTGGGTGTCAGCACGACTTGTTGCTACCTTATCGGACGGTAGACAGTCGATGTCCGATGAGTCACCCTTGTGTGTCGTGATTTGTACGTGTAGGGAAAGAAAGACGGGTCTTGGGATTGGGGGCTTGGCTGTGAGTTGTGTAGTCAAGTTAGTCACGATTCTGTGGCGTGATTTGAGTGTAAGAAGAAAAGACGGATCTCGTGATCTAGCGATTGGCGGTGACCTGTACAGTCAAGCATGTGTCGAAAGGGTGGCTACAACCTACTGGATAACTTAGTAGCCCTCGGTCCGTCGACTGTTTTTTGATGAACGCCAATTTGGAAGTCGGAGCTTCTATGATATCAAAAGCAACATGTGCCTTCCGTTTAGTGGGCGGGAAGCACTTTTTGACGTACGGGAATCTGAATGGCAGAAAAGCGTGTCTAGAAAGCCTCTCGTTGACATTAACCCTTGATTGTGTTTCAAGCCGGAACTGCAAGGAGACGTAGACCGGCGGTGGAATGGATAGAAAGAAGCCTACCTAGAATTCCGTGTACCGACGAGCGGTGAGTAAATGGGGTTTTGCGGGATAGGTATTTTTGTCCATAGCCACACCACTCTCGTTTGAACCGCCGCACAATCCCAAAATTGCAACCAAAAATCTGCCCAGTGGGTTTCAAGCGTGTGCCAGGCTACCTGACCGGGAAGTCCTGACTGGCGGATCAATCGATCGTCACAACAAGGGCAGTTATTGGGTTGTCGTTCGATGAGTCGGGCACACCAATCACATCGCTCAGGTGTGAATACGTTCACCTGTGCAGACGTTAAAATTTAGATGCGTCCAACGTGCGTTGGTGGAGTAGTGGTTATACGCTCGCCTCGCATGTCGGATGTCCGGGGTTCAAATCCCGGCACGGCCATTGGATATGCATTGCTGATGAGCTCTAATAAGAGCGAAACTCGAGTCCAGTGCTTCCCTTTGGTGTGGACTCACCGGAATAATCATGCCAGAACAGGAACGCGGCCGTTCAAACGAGAGTGGTGTGGCTATGGCCTTTCAGCCATACCGATTCTGATCAAACAAATTGGTTACACAGCCCTAGCATGTAACCGTCCGATATGTCCTTTTTAATAAACCGATGCACTCAATACGACGAAGTTCTCCATCTTCTTAAGGCTTGTATATTAACCTTTCTTTTAAGATAACTACAGAAACACGATGGAATTTCCTGCGCGTAATAGCTGCAAGAAATGGATGATCGTGAGAAGTGACTCTCCAAGGTGGCTTTCTCTCCAAGGGTGGCTACCTAATCTGAACCCATCTGTTTGTTAGAACCCCAAAAATTACCGTTCAGTAATTCGATTCGAGCACGTTGACGTCATCGGATTGTGGTGAGTATGGTTCGACACAGTTTTCGTTTTCGGCAGCATGATTTCATTGCTGTAAGATATTCGTTTCCTCCAAAAATGGAATGGATGAGTTGAAACACTATGTGACACGTTACAGAATGTTGCAGACTTAAAATCATTAGGCAGAACAAGCGAATCTAGTCGGGGAAGATGACCCAACTCAACCAATTCGGACGTTAATGTTTTTCCAAGTACTACGAGGAGAACTGTTGCGAAATCGAGCATAGGTGAACAGCAAAGAAATGCATGAAGGCCTCTCAGAACTCAATACAACTTGATTAGTTGAAAAAGACCAACAACCGACAAACGGAGACGTGGGTCATGTTGTCAAATTAAGTCTAGTAGTTATGTCCATGATTAAGATAGCATAAATTTTTTTAAAAAAATCTCCCACATATATTATCCACTCGAGTTTTCACCAAACATCTATCCATAACATCTATCCAAACATCTATCTATAAGAAGTCACTCTCGATCACAAATCTGGCTTAATGAGTACCAGAAAAAAACAACATGGAGGGAGAGCACAACCTCCAATAAGTGGGACCGGCAAGGGGATACTCGTACGTCCGCACGCGTGCTCACAGATACACGGCACCTGCAGACGACACTGTTACAATGTCACATGGTCCACATACACGTTCGACTGGGAATATTCTCAGCGGTGTTCCACAACGATCAGCAGTAAATCGCTTTTTTAGCTGCGTTGTACCGCATCAGCCTTTACGATCCATCCCTTTTTCTAGTGTTTACTGAATCATTCGGCAATCTACCTTGAACGTGTCCGTTTGTCACGATGAATACAGTCCCTAA